ATTTTGCCGCGATGCCTCAAACGCCGTCTGAATCACCGTGCTGTTGTTCGCTGTTTCCAGTGGTGTCTGCTGGGCTAATGCTGCTGGGCTAATGCTGCTGGGCTAATGCTGCTGGGCTAATGCTGCTGGGCTAATGCTGCTGGGCTAATGCTGCTGGGCTAATGCCGGTTGTTTTGGTGCTTTCTACTGCCGTCAGAGCCTGCGCTAGCTTTAGCCAATCAGCGCCGGGTTAACCTCAAGTCCCACCAGGGTCCAACCGAGTACATACCGTGGAGGAGGGACTCCGTTGGGCCCCGTAAAAGTTCCTGTAAATGGCCCTGTGGGGAAAGTTCCTCCAGTAGAGATAAAATTACCGCAAAGTTCCTGTGGTGGAAACGCGGCTTAGGGTAAAGGCATATGTAATAGCGGGAGAGTGTGATGCAACTAGATTTGGACTTAATTCAAATATAATGATAATGATAAGATATTTGTGTTCAAAACAATTGTACAATGTGAGAATTCTGTGTTTTGTTACGCAAAATGTTAAAAGTTGAATTTGTAAAATATCTGTGGCCTTTTTGTGGAATTTCACATTGACTTGGTTCCATATCAATTTGTGGCGACACCTGCATGTGAAAGCCAGATCCTGTCTGACCTGTACAGCTAAGCAAAGCAAGGCCTGGTCAATACTGTGATGGGAGACCTTTGGCAACACCAGGTGCCAGAACATTGTGTCCATAGGCTAGACACTTCCCCCACATTGCCTAGAAGGACTCTGGTGTGTAAGTGAACGGTTGGTAGTGGTCGGAGGCATGTTCTGGTTGGCTCGCTTCGGTCAGTCTGTCCCAGGGCAGCTGTGACTACTACTGATCACCACGGTGTATGGAATGCCTCCTGATCAAGTAAGTAAGTAATGTTTATTTATATAGCGCATTTTACAGACCAAGGTCACCCAAAGCGGTTTACAATGTTCAGAGTTCAGATATTGTTCCAATCATTCCACACACGGTGATGACGGAAGCGAGTCGCCGAACACACTCATTCACATTCATACCTATTGTGCATGTTTTTAGTGGTAGGGGAAACCGGAGCACCCGGAGGAAACCTACGCAGACACGGGGAGAACATGCAAACTCCACTCAGAAAGGCCCTGTTCTGACTGGGATTCAAACCCAGGACCTTCTTGCTGAAAAACGAGAGTGCTATCCACTCAGCCACCGTGCCGCCCAAGAAATCACACAGTACTAAACCAGATTTTCATTTGGTCTTCTTCTACAAGTTGATTTTTTTAGACAAGTGTGTATTACCTTTGTTTTGACTTTGCAAACTTCCAAACTTTGAATGTGAAACTTTATTTCCGGCTCCTTATTGTTCTGCCTCCAAACAAACAATGTATGGATGAAAATAGAACATCTCGTCTCTGTCCATTTGAATTCTATCACTTTGTCCCTCTAAGCTTTTGTTGTTGTTGTTCCAGAGCAGCGTCTAAAGACAGTAAAGATCCTGCTTGACATTTTTGGACATTTATTAATATGAATGACAAACACATAGGCAGCTCTCTGCGTTTGTTGTATGTATTTTGTGTGTTCGAACTGTTTGATTCTCTGATCTGTTGTTGAGGAATCGACAACTTTGTAAAGTCCTCCGAGACGACTGCTGTTGTGATTTAAGAATGTACAAAAATGTATTGAATTGAATGGAATTAATTGACCCAGAGTTACTCATGGCTGTATTTACTCAAACAGTACTATATTTTGAAAATGTGCTCTCTGGTTTCTCTACTCTCTGTCTCTATGGTCTCTATCTGGCCTCTATATATCTCTCTCTCTCTTTCTTTTTATTCTCTCTCTGGTTTCTCTGGTCTGGTCTCTCTGTCTCTATGGTCTCTCCCTAGTCTATCTCTCTCTCTCTCTCCCTAGTCTCTATCTGGTCCCACCCTAGTTTCTCTCTCTCTCTTTATGGTTTCTCTGGTCTCTGTCTCTAAGGGTCTATCTGGTCTCTCCCTAGTCTCTCTCTCTTTTTATGGTCTCTCTCTGGTTTCGCTGGTCTCTATCTCTCTCTCTGGTTTTTCTGGTGTCTCTCTATGATCTCTATTTGGTCTCTCCCTAGTCTATCCATCGCTCTCTCTCTGGTTTCTCTGGTCTCTATATGGTCTCTATATGGTCTCTCCCTAGGTCAGAGACCAGAGAAACCAGAAAGAGAGCGAGCTTTTTCTGGTTTCTCTGGGCATTCTCTATATGGTCTCTACCTCTTCCTAATATTCTTTCTCCCTCTGGTTTCCCTGGTTTCTATCTATATGAACAAGGGAAAGACCAAATAGAGATCATAGAAAGACACCAGATAAACCCCTTGTCTTTCTGTCTCTCTCTCTCGTTTCTATCTGGTCCTCTCTCTATGGTCTATCTTCTGTCTCTCTCTCTCTCTGATCATATAGCCTGTTGTATGTCTGAGCTGAACCTAACTAAGGAACATCTGACAGTGGTGGGAGAAGGAGGTAAAACAAGCAGGAGGTCTCTTCACAGGGTGACAGGTCCAGCGTCTCTGAAGGGACAGGTTTGCTACTGCTCCACTAAATTGGCTGTTAAACCTGACACGGGTGCTCCCATCCCTCTGCCCTCGACTCTCTGCTGTAATATAAACTTGGAGGGGGAGAGAGGCAATTACATCTCTCCTTTGGTGCCGTCTCTGTCATATATGAGGCTAAAACACAGACTTAAATTCACTTACCCCAATTTTTTTTTTCTTTTTTCTCTTTGATATCAGATTGTCTACAGATTGTCAAAGCCTTCTGAGGTTATTGCTCTTTCTGTGTGCGTTTTGTACAGAAGGCCCTGCGATATGTTACCACTACTTTTGGGCTCCATTATGACCGCATACTCTAAGTCTATAGTCCCCGCCTCTTTCTCCTAAAAACAGTCTGAAAAACAGTTCTGAAAAAACATAATGTTGTCTCTATGGTCTCTAGCTGGTCCCTCCCTAGTCTCTCTGGTTCTCTGGACTCTCTCTCTATGGTCTCTCTCTCTCTCTGGTTTCTCTAGTGTCTAGTCTCTCGGTCTCTATGGTCACTATCTGGTCTCTCCCTAGTCTCTCTGGTTCTCTGGACTCTCTCTCTTTCTCGTTTCTCTAGTCTTTGTCTCTATGGTCTCTCCCTAGTCTCTCTCTGATTTATCTGGTCTTTCTGTTTTCTGAGGTCTCTCTCTAGTCTATAATGTATCAATCTCTTCCTGGTCTCTTACTGGTTTCTCTGGTCTCTTTCTGGTTAGTTGGACATGTATGAAATGAGGATTAAACCAGACGGATAGTGTTTCACATCTTGAACCCAGACTTCAGCCCAAATAAAACTCTATATTAAATCTACCCGTGTGGGCACTCAATACTATCCTTTCTTATACAACTACTAATTCTGTAAACGGTAACATTTTGTATTTACCCTAAACACGTAAAAACAGCAGCACATTGGGACCAACATATATTGTGTTGCTTGTCAACACCAGTAAAGAGAACCCACTGTTTTGAACATTCTCTAAAATAGGTTAAAATATGAACAAAACCTTTGTACTAAACGCTTTATGTGAGCTACGGTAATTAAAACTTAAAGCTACGGTAACTTAAAGGAGCTATACCCGTTTCTGCAAGGATTGAATGTTTAGCACTGCCCCCCAACTCGCTCACAGGCTTCTCATTTCCACTACATTCTCTCATCCCACGGAGCCATCTAGTTTTATTTGCGATCTAATACGTATTAAAACAGCATGAGCGCAACTTAAGCTGTACAACAATCACTGATGAAATGGTACAAAAGCAACGCACTGCTAACACAATATATAACTGAAAGATTACCGCTAGTTTCATGTCCGAATGTGGTCCGAGCATAGATAGTCCGAGCATAGATAGTCCGAGGCGGTCCCGCAGGTCTCTCCCATAGACAAGTCTCTCCAGAGGATACGTTGTAAGCTAGCTATGTTCACCCCGGCTTGATTTCTTCTTTGATCATTTTTTCGCTTTAGTTTCCTCTTCTCTTCCTCACTGTTGTGTCGTTTGGGCTGTTTTGCTGTGTCTGCAGTTACAGCCAGAGCAGGTATACTGTATACAGTAGGTATTATACCTTATGTATTATAGGCTGTGTTGGGCACGTTACTTTGAAAAAGTAATTAGTTATAGTTACTAGTTACTTCTCCCAAAAAGTAACTGAGTTACTAACGGAGTTACTCCACTATAAAAGTAACTAGTTACCAGTAAAAGTAACTATTGCGTTACTTTTTCGTTTTGTTCTAGAACATAATGTGCACTCGAGGTGCGCATTTTTACCTTTAACCTCAGTGAGTCTGAAATAGTGCCAATATTTCCATCTTTAAAAAGGCTGTTTTGCCGCTGAAGTCCTGTTCACTCTTCATCTCTCTCGGTGCTGTAAGCACTAAACACCAACACCCGCTGTTACAGCCCTAAACTTGGCTCTGAGAAGGGGAAAGGAAATGCAACATACACAACCAGATGTAATTGGCAAAAGTAAATGGCCTTTTATTTCTAGGCAGAAAAGGTAACGTCCTGGACAAAACTTAGAGTCAGTAAACTAAACAAAAAGGGTTCCTTCGACAGGTAACAAGTCACAATTCTAATAAGGTCTCGTAAGGTCTCGTAAGGTTTCTCAAAGGTGTCAGCTCTCCACCACACGTCTGTCTCTCAAGGCTGGCGCACTTGTATTGGAAACAAGCCGCCCCGTCTGGACGTCACACCGCTGTTTTATTGGCCGCGGGCAGGTCAGCTGGTGGCGCAGATTGGTTCGGGCGGAGCTCCTATTGGCCATACAGGAGGACTCCGGGCGAATGGCAGCATCCGGGAAGCGGGCCCTAGACTTCGCGGGAACGAGCCGGACACACAGACAGAGAGAGACGCACCGGGAGAGGGAGGGGGTGCTTGCGCAAAACGGCCCAGACCTGGAGCCGTAACACCCCACCCCTCAAGACACTGTCCACCCTAACATTATTTCTTTGAACAAAAACAAACATCAGAACACACACAAGTTATGCAGCCATCACCTTATCTGGACAAGGCATCGGCAAACACGTTCTCTGATCCCTTCTTATGTCGAATCTCTAACGGAAAATCCTGCACCATCAAGGCCCACCGCATCAGCCTCTGGTTGTGATTATACATGCGGGACAAAAAGGTTACAGGGTTATGGTCGGTAAACACAACGATTGGCACAGAACTGGACCCAAGGTACACTTCGAAGTGCTGGAGAGCGAGCAACAGTGACAAAGTCTCTTTTTCTATGGTGGAGTAGCGGAGCTGGTGTGTATTAAACTTTCGGGAGAAGTAACCTACCGGATGGGTAACACCACTCGCATCCTCCTGCATCAGGACTGCACCTGCTCCGACCCCACTAGCGTCCACTTCAAGCTTGTAGGGACGCAACGGGTCAGGAGCAGCGAGGACAGGTGCATGACACAGCAGAGACTTCACGCTGTCAAAAGCGGATTGACACTCAGTAGTCCATTTAAAATCAACTTTAGGACTCAATAAGGTGGTCAGTGGGACAACCACTGATGAGAAATTTCGGCAGAAACTTCGGTAGTACCCAGCCATGCCCAGGAAGCGGCGCAGCTCACGCCGAGTGGTGGGAGGCGGATAGGCGTCTATCGCGGAAACTTTAGCCTCAATAGGTCGGACTTGGCCCTGGCCAACCTCACGTCCCAAATATGTAACGTGAGCCTTCCCGAACTCACATTTAGCGAGGTTTAGGGTGAGTGAGGCAGCTGCCAATCTGGAAAACACCTGCTGTAGGACGTGTACGTGTTCCTTCCAGGTAACGGAGTGGATCAATAAGTCGTCCAGATAAGCATTACAACTGGGCAGGCCCTGTAGAACGACATTAATCAGGCGTTGAAAAGTTGCGGGAGCGTTGCACATTCCAAACGCCATCACGGTATATTGCAGGAAGTAATCAGGCGTTACAAACGCCGATATTTCCGACGCGCGCTTAGTCAGCGGGACTTGCCAGTAACCTTTCAACAATTTAGTGACGTATTTAGCAGGACCGAGGTTGTCCACACAATCCTCCATGCGGGGCATGGGATATGAGTCAGGGACAGTGACAGCGTTAACTTTACGGAAATCCGTGATGAAGCGAGGCGAGCCATCAGGTTTTTCCTCCACCAAACAGGGTGAACTCCAAGCGCTAGTGCTATGTTTAGCCAGACCATTGGCCAATAAATACTCAGCCTCCTGCTTCATCAGCGCGCGTTTTGTGGGGTTCACCCGATACGGATGCTGGCGAATGGGACGCGCGTCCTTCACGTCTACGTCATGTGCCAATACATTGGTGCAACTTGGTACGTCCCCAAACAGACATCTGAATTGTCCCACAACAGCCAGAACGTCAGCCTGCTGATCAGCGCTCAAATGCTTCAGTTGGGCAGGTAAAACCGTAAGCATTTCAGAGTTCGGGAGACGCGGACTATGCTCCTTACGCATCTTCAGTCCGCTCTCAGCGGCCTGGTCAGCCACAATCAGAGCGGAGACACACTGAAGGGAGGGCTCCGTCGTGGTCGGTGTAACGCGGGAGTGATACTGCTTCAACATATTAATGTGGCACACGCGGGTTTTTCGCCTCCTGTCCAGCGTGCTGATAATATAGTCAGTATCAGACAGTTTCTCCTTAACCACATAAGGACCGGTATATTTAGCAGAGAGCGTATCCCCCTGCACGGGTATCAAAACGAGCACCTCATCTCCCGCTTTGAATGAGCGAGCCAGCGTCCTCTTATCAAACTGACGCTTCATTTTTGCCTGTGCAGTCTGTAGGGCAGCCCTAGCGAGTAAATTGGCTTTCAGTACGCGCTCACGGAATGTGCTTACGAAATCTAAAACATTGGCTGCGGTGGGTGAAGAAAGAAAAGTTTCCTTCAGCGCTTTCATCCCAGGCCACACAAACTGTCTTAACAGCGATTTGTAAGTTTTTGTAACGCCTAGGTGCCCCGACCACAAGCTTTCATGTGCCACTGCTGTAATCTGATTACGGTAGCAGGAGGGCACAACTATTTGGTAGACCGCAAACACATTGTCATGGGTGACGTGGGGAGACCATTTACGCATTAACACACCCTCGCGCAAGAAGTAACAGATCTGAGCTTTGTCACATTGTTCGCTACTCACCACACTGGAAACCAAGTTGTGTAACGTTGGGTCAGATCTCTGCTCCGCAATGAGCCGCCCACGTGAACAAGGCAGAGCTGGGTTGTCAATTTTTGGCGACGCGGCCTTCCGCGGAGTCGAGCTTTGGGAAGCCTGGGTCTCAGCTGTAGGCACAAAATCTGCTGAAATGTCAGATAAAAATGTGTCAGACAAACTAACATCATCTTTGAGATTACGGCGGGCTTGGGCACGCGTAACCGCGCACGCAGGATAAATCTCAGTAGAGCAAATATCCATACTGTCCAGCGGGGAATCAGCCACTTCCAAGGGTGGAGTTACCAGGCCCCCGGCGACATCATTTCCCATCAACATGTGAATCCCTGGAATTGGCAACGCGTTGCAAACAGCAACGGGAAATGTCCCATTTACGAGTTTGGACTCGATGTGCACCAAATGTACTGGCTGCGGGCAGTAACCCATTTCTATTCCCCGTAGCACAGTTTTGTACGCGCACGAGGACTGCTCAGAAAAGGGGAGAGCACTGGCTAAGATTAACGTCTGAGACCCGCCAGTGTCTCTCAAAATGCGGATGGGTCTTTGGTCAGGTGCGTTGCCAGGCAGAGAAACTATTCCCTCAAAGATGAATGGGTCAAAACACGAATCTGGGTCTTGGCAGGTGCTAGGAGCTAGGCTAACCTCAGTTTTGATTAGCCCAAGACCTTTAGGTTTCGGAGAGCCTGGTCTGCGTCTGAGTACAGGACACGTGGCAACAAGATGCCCAGCAGTGCGGCAGTAGTAGCATTCCCTTTCGTCCGGGCCCGTCCTGTCAGTCCTCGGAGAAGTAGGCCTAGGAGCAGGTGCGCAAGGCCTGTCAGGCCCTCCGCCAAATACGGATTTGTGAGTCAGCACAAATTTGTCAGCTAAAACAGCAGCATGCGAAATGGTCTTCACCTTCTGCTCATTTAGATACACCACAACACGGTCCGGGAGGCTTCTCTTAAAATCCTCCAGCAACATAAGGTCACGTAACGAAGCAAAACTCTGAGCTTTAGCAGACGAACACCACTTGTCAAATAACATTCCTTTCTCCCTCGCAAACTCAATGTAGGTATGGCTTTGGGCCCTTTTATGGCTTCGGAACCTTTGCCTGTAGGCCTCAGGGACCAGCTCATATGCCCTTAGTATGGCGCTCTTGACTGCTTCGTACCGCAGACTGTCAGCAAGAGGCATGGCTGCAATGATTTCTTGGGCTTTCCCGTACATTTTACATTGGAGCAAAAGAGGCCAAATATCGCGTGGCCAGTTTAAGGCCGAGGCGATGCGCTCGAATGCAGCAAAATATGAATCCACTTCTCCCTCTCTGAAGGGGGGTACAAGGGGAATAAATGTACTTACATCGAGGGCGCCGCCGTGAACGGATGGGGAGTGGGCTGCAGCCTGCGCGGTGGGTCCAGGGCCGGGAGTAGGACTGGGAGGGAGGCGACCTTCAGCCTCCAGCTCAAGGCGGCGCAGTTTGACGTCTTTGTCAGCCTCTATCTCGAGCTTGCGCACCTGAAATTCGAGCTCGGCACTGCGGTCCCGTTCCTTCTGCTCAGCTTCCATTTTAATGCGGGCCAGGCGCACAGCGCGTCGGGCAGCATCCAAGGACCGAGGAGAGGTGGGAGGAGAGTGTGGGTCATACCGGGGGAGGGTGAACAGAGGGTTAGGCGGTTCATCAACCCCCGCGCCCGCTCTCTTTGTCCCAGGGGGAGAACCATCTGAAGGTCCAGGTTTCTCCTCCCGCTTTGGGGTTCCCGCAGGCACGATACTCTCATCAGTCCCCTCAGAAGCCACTGGTTGCGAGAGCAGGCCCAACTCCACCAAGCCATCCACAAGCAGCGCCCGGATTATCTAAAAATGTGTTATATGTATGTTAGCCAAACCTGTTGCAGCCCTTAGCAGATAAACCAGAAAGAGAAAGGAGCCTTTCGATGGAATTGTATGCAGCCGACTTCTGCGCTCACATGCGCTCCTCTGAGGCCTCACGGTGATACAAGCCGTGGTTGAGCGCGATTAAGACCCATATTTGTTCCAAAAACACAATTTATGAGCCATCCTCTCAACTGTAGACATGTAGATTGTAAAGGAAATATGTTTTACATCAGGCAATAATTGCTGAGAGGTTTTCTCATCCTCCTTCTCTCATGACAACACACGCACGAGTCCTATCACGAAGTAAAAAGAGAAGTTCATTGTGCGACTTGAGTAACGCGCAGTAACGGGATGTCGGAAATGATAACGGCGTTATAGTTACAGTCAAAGTAGTTAGTTAGATTACTCGTTACTGAAAAGTAACGCCCATCACTGAATAGGATATTTCTACCTCCATTCTGCTCTTGTTTACCATCGTTGTAGAGGCTAGAGGACGCAGTCTCGTTCTGTGATTGGAGGAGAGCGGGCGTCACGCTAAAGTCTCTACTCAGCACTTTTTACGGCCTGAATTCATACACAGATTAAGTTTTCAATTAAATTACGGTTTATAATACAACTCGTATGTAGTAATTTTTTTATGAACTCATTAGAAAAAAAATCGGGTATAGCATCTTTAAACCCTGTCAGAATCAGGGAATTCTGCTTTAATAATTCATTAATAGTAATTGCATTAAAAGTAATTTCCTTTCCCAGAGTGACAAGTGCCTCTTTCATTCATTACCCTTCATCAATACGCAGCAGGAGATGGAACTGTCTCTGTTTGATTCATCGTTTTTCCTCGTCTCCAACATTGAACAACATTCATCGTGGATTCATCAGAAGGAAGATTTATAACCTGTTCCCAGCATTTGGTTTTAATGACTCATCGTTAAATGTGAATTATCTTCAACTCAACAAACAGGGTTCATATTGGTCAGAGTACTCACAGATTAAGAGATAGAGATTCTTGTATTTGTCCCATTGTGGGGACATGTCAGTGTTGCATCACCGGCTACAGAACAGTAATTCAATGAAATGTATTTTTGTACGGCTCTAAATCACAACCGCTGTTATCTCTGAGGATTTTACAAAGTTGTTGATTCACTACAGATCAGAGAATCAAACAGTTCCTACACACAAATAGCAAGCACAACAAACACATAGGAGCCATTGGTCCATAGAGAGCAGGGTGACCAATGTCCATAAATGTTAATAAAAAGTCCTTCAATGTACTTAAATATCCTGTATTCTCACTGTCCTTAGATCCTCCTGCAAAAAAAAAAAAAAGTTGAAAAGTTGAAAGAATGAGAAGCACACAAACACTGAATAGGATATGTAGATTTTAAGTACAGCACAACTCTCTCTAATATCTTATTTTTTTGCCTAATGAACCTCATATAGTATAATACAGTGTAAACATATAGTAGTAGTATTTTTATTTGAGGAGTTTTACAATACACAATAACATGCACAAATAATTCAAGAAAGACAAAAAAGGAAAAAAAAATAAAAAAGGCTCAAAAGGAGAAGGCAGAAGCAAAAAGTTTCACATGACATTCCTGATTTTTGCCATTGTCATTTTTATCTTGTTGATGCAAACAAACAAAAAATCAGCAATACTTATCAGTTGTGTTCCATCCAGTTCATCGCAATAATACATTTTCATTGTTCTTTTTTACATATAATTAACTAGTGCAAAGAAATGTGTACTCATAGAGATAGAGTGCGATGCAAACATGTAGACTTCATTCAAATATAATGACTGTCAGATCAAAGCAGTTCTTCAGTTCAGTGCTGAGCTTTACGAGGAGAATTCTGTGTTTCTTGAGCTAAAAAGTTCTTTCACTAAAAGCTTTAGCAAAAAAAAAAAAATCCTGGGTTGAATTCATAAACTGTGTGTGGGCTTTCTGAGGAATTTCATTTTGGGTCGCTGGGTTCCATATGAACTTAAAACATGCAAGTCTGGCTCCTGAGCGAGAAATCACACTGCAGCAAAAACAACAAGGTTCATTTAGTTTTCTGATGGATTCTACAAGTTTTTAAGACCAAGTACATAATATTAGCACCAGTTAAAACCACATAAAAACAAAGATAATTACCCGTCCATCCAAAAGATAAGACAAAAAATTAACACTAAAAGGAGACGGCAAAGACCCACGAGCAACAAACCACAAAGCAGAACAAGATCAACTCAAATCTGCGACCACTATAAAAGAGAGAACCACGCTAAGGAAGGGGACGAAACAAATATTATAGGGTCTGTGCCGCCGGGACAATGAACCGGGACGAGGGGGCTGTTTTACGGTCACGCACCTGGGACCTGTCCTGAAGAAGTGGGAAGATCGTGGTAAAAACTGGAGAAAATAGCCGACAAGACACATCACACAACATCACGTAATCACTCTGAAGAAGAATTTTCTGTAGTTCAAACTATCTGGTATAAAAAAAAATGATAAATTGTGGAAGGTTTAGCAAAAAGATTAAGAAAATAAGAAAAGATCACAGTATTTTTAAACACTTAATCACAACAGAATTACGCCTGCAACTTTACACTTACCAGCAATGAGACTGTATTGCCTTCCCCTGTTATTTTTTTCTATTTTTATTATCTATTTGGGACAGTACATATTAATGAACACACATCTCTGGATTGAAAAGTCCCTTCTACGTTAAAGAATTCTCATGTTACTAAGTCAGAGTGCATCGGCCCTTTTCCTTTTTGTTTTCTACATCTATGGATTGTTGCCTTTGCCTAATTTGCATCTGTCGTCCAACTCACAAACACACACTCATTCACCCTGCTCTATTGTACATGTTTTTTGTGGTAGGGGAAACCGGAGCACCTGGAGGAAATCTACGGCAACACCAAAACTCCACCCAGAAAAGGCCTGTAGGTGGAACCAAACCCAGAACCTTCTTGCTGGCTTATCTTCTAATGTAAACCTCCTCTCTGCTCTCTGTAGTGTAAGACAGCCGGCTCCTATTATTCTGTCAGGTTTTGTTTCACCCATGAATAAATTAGATTTTCTGGGCAAGTGGCCAATGCTTGTTGCTGCCCCAGGTAAAACAGCAGTCATTGTTAGTGAAGGAATTCAGAGCATGCACAAAAAACACATGGAGTGAGAGAAAGGGAGAGAGAGAGAGAGAGAGAGAGAGAGAGAGAGAGAGAGAAAGGGGGAAAGAGACAGAGACAGAAAGGGGGAAAGAAGAGAGAGAGAGAGAGAAAGGGGGAAAAGAGAGAGACAGAAAGGGGGAAAGAGAGAGAAAGAGAGGGGGAAAGAGGGAGACAGAGAGAAAGAGAGAGGGGGAAAGAGAGACAGAGAGAGAGAGAGACAGACGGAGAGACAGAGAGAGAGAGAGACAAACGGAGAGACAGAAAGAGAGAGACAGACGGAGAGACAGAGAGAGAGACAGACGGAGAGACAGAGAGAGAGAGAGACAGACAGACAGAGAGACAGAGAGAGAAAGAGAGAGGGGGGGAAGAGAGAGACAGAGAGAAAGAGAGAGGGGGAAAGAGAGACAGAGAGAGAGAGACAGACGGAGAGACAGAGAGAGAGAGACAGACGGAGAGACAGAGAGAGAGAGAGAGAGAGAGACAGACAGACAGAGAGACAGAGAGAGACAGATAGAGAGACAGAGAGAGAAAGAGAGAGAGACAGAGAGAGAAAGAGAGAGGGGGGGAAGAGAGAGACAGACAGAGAGCGAGAGGGAGAGAGCTGGCACTGTCTGTCTGACGCTTCCTTCACTGAGATCACAAACATAATGTGCAGCAGGTGTGCATTTGCATCCACACACCACAGTGATCCCACATGAAGGAGCGCTGCAAAAAATGAAATAAAAATAAGCCAAAAATGGCTCAAATTTGGCAACACGTGGCTTACATGTGAGTGGCAAACTGAAGAAATGTGTGTAGATTTGTATTCACGTATGCCTTCTTGATTTTATTCTGCTTTAACCTGTTTGCAGCGAGAGCCAAAGCAGTTTCCTAGTTTGTGACTTCTTGTTCTCACATGGCAATACAAGGATTCTGATTTATTTTAGTTTTTTGACTTGTTTCTTTTTACGCTGAAGCTAGAGATTTCATACTTGCTTCTTTGTTATGCTAAAGTTAGAGATTTTATTTGGTTTTAGAATATCTCCCTGAGCTTGTGCCACAGGCCTCATCTCTGGCTTATTTAGCTGCATACGACTAATTTGAAGCATAGATCTCTTAATTATTGTAACTTTTATCCTTTTTACTGAATTTTGTTTCATATGTATTTGCATTGTTTTTATATTGTTTTGTTTTTTATTGTCTGTTTTGAATTGATTGATTGATAGCATTTATGTGTAAATATCTTTTGCTGTGTGCTCATTCCTATTTGGTGATTTCCCCACTGTTAATCTAAATCTTAATTTGAGCACCTTCGGACTGCCTTAAAACAATATTTGCCATCGGGACAGGCTAAATAATCTTGTTTTAAAAATATACTAGAGATTTCTCTGTTGGAACGAGAAAATAAAGCCACAGCTCTTGAAATTAGACTAAATGGCTTTGTCCCATTGAGAAATCTTGTTGTCAGAATGTGCTCAAATTAAGATAAAAACCATTCGATTCAAGCAATTATTTATTACCTCGTATTGTGTTATTTTTTGCAGTGAGAGCACATGCTTGGAGGCGCTGCTACTATTGGATTTCCTTGTTCTCAGTGTAATGACATGCAGATGGTTTACAGGAGGGAGAGGCCACACCGCTGCTGACAAAACTGTACAGCGTTCGGAGGATGTAGAAATATACACAGCAATAATCCCACGCAGTTTATCAAGAGCTGTGGGAATTGTTTTGTTTTCGTATTGGTATCGATTGATTGGGAAAACAAACTACATGCTATGATCCGAGGATGCAAAAGTATGTAGTAGCTATTGAAGTAAAAGTACTGATATGAAACCATTCCCTTTCTTTCCAACACTAGGACTAACACTTGGAATTATGAAACGACTAGAACTCCCAAAGCTGTCATTTTAGCCGCTACCCAAATTTCCCCCAAAAAGTTACATTTTAAACTTGTTTTTTTTTATTTTGGAGCGGACCGATAAAAATATACCAATGGGATTCGTTCATCCCCAACGAACCAATGGGATGCGTTTACCCCCTTCCTGTTTCTCGCGAGTGCGCGGACCTTAGTTATTGGATTTTCTAAAACCTAAAATGGCTGAACAGAAAATGCCCATTTCTCGTTTGCCACCCACTCTCCCCGTTGTGACAAAGAAAAGAAAAGGCTGGATGTTTGGTTTGGTAGACGGGGAAGTGGTTTTGAGTTGGTGCTACGGCTAAGCTAACAACATCGCTTACCGAACGAATATAACTTGAACTCATTAAACATCTCAGATTCAGATTCAGTTTATTTGCCATTTGCAGTAAAAAACCACATTGGAATA